GTCATCACATGCCAAGTCCTGAGCGTAGTTTGTGAGAATCTGCCTATGTAATGGTGTAGCCGCATCGATAGCTTGGTCAATATCAACCGTTTTATTCTCGCTTGTCATCGCCACATTCTGCTAACGTTCGCGTCAATTCGTCCTTTTTATCCTGATACAAGAACAAATATTGGCGATAAATCGATGGAATCAAATCCTAATCTAACACGTTACATACTAGTAGTGCAGGATAACTGGTGGTATAAGATCAATAAAAAAAACCGGCTCAACATAATAGGTGTTGTTTACCTATGCCGCCCCCAATTCGATAATTTGAAAGCGATCACCCTACCTGATGCGCGAAAATAAACGCTTCTAAAAGTTTCTGTTGTTTTTCCAGTTCTTCTATCATATTCCGAAGGGTTCGTTGCCCAGCTTGCAGTTCGGATTGAGTTTCACGAATTGATGCCATTTCTGCATGAGATGTACCTGAAAAAAAACACTGTTACAGGAACGGATCGATGCCCAAACGTCCATGTTAGGCGTTATAAATGGTTGCGTTCATACTTTTCGTATCGACGTTGGAGCGCTCCAAGCACTTTAGAAAAAAAAGGAAACGTAGGTATCGATATAGCAATTTGGAGGAAACGCTCAAAACGCCGGCGCCTCCCAAAACATTAGATTGATATCTTGACTTTCCTTTCCGCTCAAGACGCTCAACTACGCCGACGAGGGGTATGGACGCAACAGTAGAGCTCTTAGGAATTACTTGAAGTAGAGAAATTTGGTATACGTGTTGCATTCATGGGCACGTACTTCTCGCTCTCTCGAGAGAAAGAAAGGCTGCGATCATACGCTGCGATTGAGAAGACTTGAATTTGGATATTCAGGCATTTGAAGACTGTGCGATGAGGAACGTAAAGGATTCGATCTGGCGACACGGGTACTGAGCAATCCAGCGATTTAATTGGACCGGCGTTTCCGGCGATTGCACGCCAAACGAGTGGGGAGGTTGGGGGGGGGGGGTATCGATGGGCGCTGGTCGCTAGCGATCGCAGATATGAGGCGATACGGCGCTTTGGGAGATCGCCAAATCATCTCGCTCGCAAAGTATGAACCTGGCCAAAAGCATGCATCATTAGGCCCTGTTCATCCATGAGAATTCGAAGAAATGGCGAAACTGCAGTTAGACGATAGTAAACGTATCGATTTGAGAAAACGCGGAATCAGGAGAAATGCAGAAATGCCGAAATTGTGCAGAATCGGCATTTGTCCCAGTGGTCAGGCTAAGTGATCACCCTTACCAAGTCCGTCAATTCAGCATTAGCAGATTCCGCATCTCTGCATTTCTACCAAGTCCGCGTTTTTCTACCAATTCCGAGTTTTTCAAATCGATATACACTTTCTTCTATCCTTGGTTCCATCATTTCTTCAAAGTTGTCATGTATGAATGCGGCCTTACCGCTCAACACCTTCAAAATACATGGAAAATTAGAAACACACCCATTTTCTCTCTGAGCCGCATTCTCAGCTTATCCTCAAGTGCGCTTAATATTGATACTCGAATATGCTCCGGCTGGAAGAGTACCCGCTGATGACGTAGGAATCGGAGGAACAGGTGGAGTTGGTCGAGACGGAATTGATGGTTGTGGATATGGTGTGTTCACATATGCACTGAAACAGATGAGAAGAAATAATTGAATCTCTCTCAATTGATTGACAAGTCAGTGACAAGCACTTCGAAAAAAAACTTTTTCTGCCCAATAATTCCGACAGGTGCTTTATACAAATGTATTATTGAGCCAAAGTGGATTCTAGCATGTAATAAAATGAATGAGTGCTAAAAACAACAATTAAGCAAAGTTTGGTGCGGAACTGCTTTTCATTTCTCTTCCTGGACATAATGGCTAGCGCATTTTACAGGCTTGAGGTTGCATTTTGCACTTTCACTAGTTCCTCTTGCTAGTACTTGTCAACTAACAGGCGAGCTGCGAAGTGGTATAATTGAACCACACCGGTTACAGGAGTTTACAGGTCTCCACACGGTGGTTTGTACAAGCCACGCTGAGTACAATCTGATGCCCCCAGCAAACCGAACTGCGCCTACTGAATATCTGATTGAGCCTTTTGGCTCTGACAACTGTGCGGGCACTTGAGGACTTCGTGTGCACGAATTCCTTCAAATTAAAGCGCCATTCTTACAACTGGTTGACGAACCCTGAGATTCCTCCTCCTTTAGGCATAGACAACAGTTCTCACCTCCACTGCTGGAATGAAAATTACACCATTTTGGTGGTAGACATCATGACAGACGTGGAACCCAAAAGTAGTAGATGTGCTTTCAAAAAACAAATGTGAAGCAT